AATGCCACGCTTTCACATAGTGGGGACTCGTTGTTTATCAAAGCACATTTGGAAGAACTGTGACAGGGGTTCAGCTAGCTTGTTGGCCACAGCCTTCAGTGCCTTCGGGCGGACGTTTTCTGCTCCCGGAGAGCTATGATTGCGCAGTTAGAGAGAGTTCCTTAACACAATTAATGGGTTGTAAATTACATGTTTAAACAGTGGAGTCGGTTAGGTGCATGTCATTATGGAACAGGTAGAGGCTGGGAGTTCGAAAATTGTGGCGTATTGTAGCCACAGGCCATTAGCTGTTCCTTCGGCGCTTTGTACTCAACCGCCTGTCGTGAAAAGTGGAGGGATTCCATGCTTCAATTTACGAAGATTATTGACATACCCATATAGCTGTTTGTTGTTTACCATGAATTGTTTGGCTAGGCACTGTTGATAAGTTACTTTATCCTCACGGACAAGTGCAGCGCAAGGGTTGCGATGGTTCAGGAAATTGCCCTAAGTCTCCTAGTTGGGGTTAATCTTGTAGGTACGTAATGCTGCATCCCTTATGGCCAGGCGTGTTTGTGTTTTGCTCTTTAGAGCTGAAGGTAATTTTGCGGAATAAAGGGGTTTAGTGTCTTATGCTATGTTGACGATGTCGCTTAATCTATCGATGAATTCTGTCCAAACGTTGTCAAGGGGACTCTTGTTTGCGAATACATAAGCAGCTGCGTCGACGATTTCTTGCAATACGTGGTAGCGTGTGATTTATGATTTAGTTCCAAATGTTCAGATAGATACTCTGCATAACACACATAGTTGAACGTTATTACAACATGGTCACTGAGACCTAATGGACTCTCCATCAATAACTTGTCAAACATGAGCTCTTCATTCGTGAGCACAAGGTCCTATATGGACGGTTTGTTTGCTGTCCTGAATCTAGTAGGCGTGATTGTACAAGAGAATATTAGCGACCAGTTCATGCAAATTTGCTTTGAACTGTACACTAAGTGATGCCGATACCTCCAGACGGTGCAAATTGAAGTCCCCGGAGGTGAGAATGTGACTGTACATAGTGTGTGTTACCCTGTTCAGAACATGTATCAAGCGGGAATCCATTTCCGGAGTGGACGTTGGAGGCGGTAAACGACAGCTACGAGACATGCGTCGTTGTGTCTTAGTCGGAGACGGTACCAGAGTGAGTCGGTAACGTGTGTTTCCAGATCATCAACTATTGCACATTGCAGGTCGCTGCGGTAGTAGATTAGGACCCCACCTCATCTGCTGGGGCGGTCGTTCCGGATGAGAGGCATTCCGGCTATCTCAACCTCAGCATCAGTCACCTCTCGGTGCAACCAAGTTTCGGTAATAGAAACTAGGTCCCACGCATTCGCAACCTGATAATGCCGAAGTTCGGTAGGTTTACCGAGGAGCTCTTGGGCGTTAGTGTACATACATGTAAGTTTCTCAGATTTAAGCAACGTTTCGGAGGTTGCGCAACTCATACGTGAACTTTCGCCTACCAGTAAGTGGCCGGCGACTAATCGTTTTTTATATGTACTTGGTGTAGCATTTAACGTCCGTGTAGTTAGTCCCGTGTCTAATTTTCGACGTACAGTGTAAGGTGTCTGGTCAATATCAGCTTCTACAGATGGTATAAGCTCATTCGACACAGTACTGGTGCATTGTTCTTTTATAGATCCCATCGCGTTTGGTTCCTTGATTGACATATCGCTAACTGCCTTCAGCCGAAGCTCAGATGGCTGCCTGCAACGGAACATGTACCAGCTTTTAGCAGCCGTGCTACCATATGTTTTGACTGAAGGACCACCTTCAACACTCTCTGGCCACTTCATTTTTAGTTCGGTGAGGTATGCAGCCGTGACACGGATTTCGCTAACACATCATCCAAGCAGAGTGTTTTACGAATATAACACCACTGTTCTTTATCATGGGTTATTATTTCATGCTCATCACATGCTTCAGTTTCAGGAACCCCGTGAAGAATTATGCTTCTGGTTGAAGTTTCATTCCGATAGTCTTCTAAGATGCGGTTAACTCGATAACGCTCGCCCCATGGGATGTATGGAAAGATACGGATGGAGTAACGTTCATTTCTGAGGATACCTGTCGACAGTAGTACTGATTCTACTTCAGTAATGGAGGTCAGCACAACGCGCAGAAGTCTTGGCTCTCCGAAGTGCTTAGACTTAAGGTGTCACGTAATACACACTACGCGTACAGGTCTCAGTACAACTCCTATTAGGTTATTAATAATATCCCACTGGTTGAGGACATCCAACTGCCTGCCTCTTATGGATGTCGACTTTGATTCTTGGATATTGGAGCACAGTGCGCTCAGTTCAGGTAGCTGTTTCTCTACACCTTTCGACATGTCGCGGTTAGTGATTGAACTATTCGGAGATGTACCGCAGGAAACCGCTGGTGCTTGCAATAGAAAACAGCGCTACGCTCCTCAGTTTCCGATCCAGTTGAGGGTGATGTTACTTTTAAATGACGGCTCTTCTTGGAGGAAACCTTAACCCAACTTTCGCTAGTACCGGCTTGCTCTTTGTATACGCACTCCGTCCGGAGTTTGGAAGTAGCCTTACGTGTAGTTACTCCGATCAAACTGGGAACCGCATTAATCAAATGTGAGCTACGTGTGGTATTGGAACAGCTGTTGATGTTCCGGACTCTAGGTGTCGTGTTGCTTACGGTGTTACTAGCAGTTCTTCGCGGGATAGGAGCAGCACTTACGGGGGTGATTGGGTTGCACAGTCCGCTATGCTTACGCCAACCGTAGTGATTTTGGTGATCACCATTTCGTCACGCTTTACTAGTAGCTGGTCATACTTCTGAGATAAAAGGAGCACGCATTTTATCAGTGGGATCTATGTGCATTCCACACAAACCATAGATAGTTTTGTCTGGCTAGGTTTAACTCGGAGGCATCTCGCATGGAAAATCTTGCAATAGTTACGGCACAAAATACCTCCCTTAACAAGTTTGGAACATGATCCACATAGGTCTTTAGACTGTGGCACACTGGGAATCGCACATGTTGATGCAATGTTAAGATTCATTTGATGTCTCACCCTCTCTGGTAAAAACTTGTTCTGTTACTGACGTTGTCGGTAAGGTCACACTGTTCACGTTGCAGTTGGGTGCTCGCAGACTGTCTTCTCTGACGTGCCAGTCGAATGTGTCAGGTTGAAAGTGAGGCAGATTACACGAGGGTGTGTTTGAGAATTTTCGTGGTTAAGCCTATGGATCGCGCCGGGTGAATTTGCCTTGAGACCTGTAGCTGCTTCAAGCAATGTTGGATTTGAACGATTGACAGTTGGTTCGAAAGCCGTTGAAATGGTCTATAGCGTGAGACCAAACAATGTCTCCGATGGTTGGAGTTAGGCAACTTTTGGCTCTTGGATATCGGCGAAACACTACCTGGAATTTAGAATTCAGGGTAAATGTAGAATGCACTAGGATGTAATGGAGAGATTAGTATCATTATTTGGAGCTTTCAAAAGCACGACGAATGAGTGTGGATGCAAAGGCGTGTGACAAAATGCCGCTAAACCGCAGTGCAAAAATCACGAGTGCACAAGTGAGCAGTTTGAACGCACTATTTAAGCGCCACTACCATTCTTACTCGGTGGCCGGGGAATGGGGCACTGTTGTTACGATTTTGCACGCGCGTCTCCGTTCCAACTAGCCAGACACACCGTATGTATCGATCAGTGAACTTGCCCTGTGTCGTGTCATATGGTGACTCTAACTCAACCATCTGCACCCGATCCAGCTTTTCATAATGGCAACACTGGCAAGTACACATGTACCCACATGTATGCATACGGTGGTTCTACACCCATGTGGCCGGGTGAGACCTTTTGAGATAGACCAACCTCTACTGTTGAACAGTTACCGATTTAGTGCACTCTAACTCACACCCGAAGGAGTGACCCTTTGCCTCGCAGTAAGTGAGTAGAGGGAGCAGATTTTGAGACAGGCTGTACTTTTGTGAAGCATAAAGTTGACTTTTGTCCCGTCGATGTGAAGTTTCGTTGCAGTTAGGCCAAATCAGGTGGCTACCGCACAACCGGAAAAGCGCTAGACGGCCGTGTTGTCCTATTGGTACTCGTCAATCGCAGGCACCCACTGAATCCTGCCGAATTTGAACCCATGACTTTTGTCTTGGGAGCCAGTTACGTATGCCATTATACGCTGGACAACGGCAGTGGACTGCCATGACTGATACCTAACTGCGATTTATCGCGGCTCATACTCCATTCTCTTACTCACCAGAGTCACGAATTCCTTTGCAATCCGCCACCCATCTACGTGACATGTAAGCTTCTACGGCAACTACTGGTTATTTGAAAGTTTTAGTAGAATTTATTTCTTATTTTGTGAAGTTTCGTCGCAGTTAGACTAGAGAGTCAGCCAGCAGACATCCAAAAGGCGCTGGACGGCCGTTTCTTCCTATTCCGAAGCCGGATTTTCATAACTTTTTGCAATATACTACCTGTAGGCTTAATTGTTTCGTCTTGTACCACTCGAGGTAACTAATTTTTGCAAGCAATAACAATCTGCAGGATTTGTAAAATCGTTAGGAAATTAGATAACCCCTCAGTAGAAGATTTCGTAAGTCAATCACGTGTACAATTCAACACTTAGCTCGATTTTGTTTTTCGCTGTTTCGAAGATCTTTGATTCCCCCATCCCATGAGCACGTTGTCACTTCCCTTTGATCCCCTTACCTGTTATGTAGTGCGCGTTTTATCTATATTGTATCTCATTGTCAAAAACGAGTAACTATTCCCATGCAAACCAAAGTGACCACATTTCCTCGACTCACTTGATCTCACACAGACAACCTAGTTTGTTCCAGTCTGCCTACACTTTATCTGGAGCAGATTAGCGTCTGTTCTGCCCTCACTCGGCACATTTATAACCATGTAGACTGTGGCTCCAATGTGTTAATTGGTGTTTGACCTGATACGTCTTATCTGGTCTGCGGTAACACAATGCGTCACCAACGCGAGACTACACCTGCAGTGACATTGTCAGTGATCTCACCTATTTCAATAGTTTTCTTTTGGTACTGGTTGGACAATGGTATCAGTAAAACTCATGTTTGTTACTTGGGACGGCCATCGTATTCTCATTGATTTCTCATCACTAAAACAATGGAGTGTGTGAATCTTGCGTTCAGCCCAATCGCCCGCACTTCATTGCTGTTTCCTTTTATTTGATTTTCATATTAAATCCTTATATCTATGTGTCGTTAGCTTACCTGTGTGTTATTTTGATGACATTTCTGTTGACTTTTGGGATACGAATTTGTGTTGGAAGCACACATTAGTGAGGTGCCTAGTTAAGTTATTGTCTGCTTTTTAATCAACAGTTTCTCAATCTGACCCTGTATTGTGTATTGATACTGGGGGAGGCGCGTCGCTCGAACATTCCAAGTGATTCTGTCCCAGTATTCAAACATTTGTGATTCCTTTCACATAGTAAACAGGGGTGGTTTCGAAATGACATTGCAAAATTACGCGGTAGCTCATATAACATCAATCATATCCATCGGCAACTCTCCTCTGCCATCCGTATACTGAATAGTAAAGAGATCGTAACCATTGCTGGTGACGTGGGTGTCAAGGTTAGTCGGTTACGGGACTTCGATTGCAGCCAATGACTTCAGTATAGATTCCATGTTCATACAATGTGAGAGAACTAAAATCAGTTAAACTATTATTCTATGTGTCGTTACGTGACTGCGCTTTTAGTATCTGAAATCCTGGACAAACTGAGCGTTCTGTCGTACCTATTCTATTGATAAATCGGAACTTCAACTAGTTGCTAGCGCCGTTTCAGGTATTTCTCGGTAGTACGAAAATGACCTTATTACTTCTGGCTATCTTACTATACTACACCCTTTATCTTGCATCTATTGTGACTCCTGCTCCTGCTTACCAAAATTATACACCCTTGCTGTCTCATCGACATCAATAAACTAATTTATGCCTTAGACCACCTTCTTGCTTTTATTGCAGTGCTTTTCCTTTCCTGCTTATATCTATGCCAAAAGTCGGTTATCTATCTGTATCCTTTTCGATTTACGCTGCGTGATATTTTGTAAACGCCATAAACTTGTTGATGATGATGAGCGTGCCTAGCATTGCACAAAACAGATGTTTATTCATTTCTTTAGTTATTAATCTACGCCGCCCATCTCAACCTCAACCCTTCCGTTGCACGGTTGAGCAAGTAATTGAAGGCTGAAAGGAAAGCAACTGAGCTCACACAGTTTTCCAACAACAGATCAATTTGATATCTAGGTCTAGGAATGTCCACTCACTTTACACTACCTTAACTCGACCCTAGGTGCTTACTAGCTTAGATTGCTCGGCTAACAAACCTTAACTTTTTGAGATTCATATGTAACAATATTGATATATTAATCCTAGCTTTCTCTGCTTTGCATTTGAGTAAGAATACACCAAGGACAAATGGGGTGATCTTAGTTACTCTAGACTATTATGCACGACTCTGTGCTACTAGTTTGATTTTTTGGCTAAATCTTCATGGTCACTCACCGTCAGTAGGCTTGGGCTAATCTGGAAAGGCACCAGATGCCGGCCTTTCGACATTCTGGATCGCGTCAGTGGTGCGCCTTTCAGCGGACCCCTGCCGCGTTCCACCCCCATGACTTCTGAATGCCAGCAGCCAGTGCCCCTTCGCCATGGGTGACTGCGGCGCAGCTGTGTGATTGACAATCGATTATGATATAGCCGGTCTCAGCTTCCACTGCTATACCACTTACGAACTGTGCAGAGGACAGTGGCAAGCTTCACTAGCTAGAACTATCCGTATATCGCCTCGTCTGATTTTGGTTGATAGCTACGATCTCTTTATCCCTTTTCACGTTCCCTCACATTCTATGAACCAACCACCTCCATGGTATCCTCGATCGGCACTGGAATCAAAGCTGAGAATGCTCGTGTTCTGTTACGAAACGACAGTGAAAACCCTGAAAACTCTTCCAAAACGTACCTGTTACATCCCTGTATAACCCCCAGACCTCGACAACCCTGCATGCGTGAGCTTGCTGTACATGTAAATACGACCCGTTCCTTAGTGGGCCCGGTTTCTCAATAGCACATGGAACATACATTATTATTATTACTATTCAGTTATTATAATTGCGCACTGATGTGTTTACGCGGTATACAGTATACGACTTTGCAATAGATGCGCAGCAAATGAGAGCATTTCATTGGCTGACTCTAAGTACCCGAGTCACTTAATGTTTACTAATTAAGAAAAACTGGAAGTTAACAAGCCAATATCAGACCAGCACTTATGCAGGATGATCATTAAGTAGAAATTGAATCGATACCGGCGACCGGTAGAGTAGACCAGGTCTCCTATTTACCAGCGACACTTGGCTAATCCCAAAAATACCAAGTACCTAAGGTACATAATATAAAAGTAAAAAAACACTCAATAATCATAAAATATCGATCTGACCTATCTCATAGTAGTGCAGTTCAGTTATGAGTACCAACACTGATGAATTTTGGTGCTTCCCTTTTGCAACGAGGGGAATTAGCCATTAGAACTTCAAAGGGGAACCTGTTTCCACAGTTTGCTCGCCAACCAGCCTAACGAGTGAGAGTTAGTGGAGAGTTTCAAACAACCAATGGGCGGTAATGGATATCAAGGTCACACAGACGACCAGTGGACAAATAGATTGGGGTTATTGGCCGGAATAAAATCGAACGGCTTTACAGGGTTGAACAATATGGTTACACTGTCTCGGTGACATCACGCAAATCTTTGTGAAGTTTTAATTTTTTCAGTGATTTGAATGAGGATGGAAACTACTGTCAAGATACTCTAGTCGTTGGGAAGCCGTACCTTCGCATTTCCTGGACTGTGTAATACATACAGCTGTTATCTTTTGATACAGAACACCTGCTGTATTAACACGTGTTCAACATCTTCACATTTCTATTTGCCCACAGAAGTAAGTTCATTAGGCTTTATCGTTTGTTTTATTTTGTTACCTAGCCGATTTATCGAGCAATCTGATGACTTCATTTCCGGAGAGGTGTTTGTTGTATCAAATGATTGTGGCCATCGTGATTAGCTGAGACAAAATCGACTCGAGTAATCCGTGTGCTTTCAGTAGCCATGACAAAAATGTTTGAATTATGCAGAACGGCTCACCTAGTTTGACTACTCTCAAATACTTTTACAATCAAAATAACCCCCATAACTAAGTGTGACTTCACCGTGAAAATGTATAATGAGTAGAGTAAGTAAGGCTATGTCCATCGTACAACTTCCTACCTTATCTGTAAAGATAGTTCAGGCGAATACAGAATCAAGTTTAATATTCTATATTAACAATGTCAAAGTAGTACCGGAGCACCTCGGCATTTTTCTTCCAGCTTGCGATAACAGCACTGATAACGGTAAATTAGTAGATGAGTCACCTGAAATTACAGTCCTTTGCTTGGGAATATTGCACGGTGACGACCCTTGCGATGATTCTCGTGAAAATCGGCGACTCATTTATAAGTTTTCTAACTCATTTGCCATTAGTTGGTTGTGGCTGCTAAGTGGTTTACGGTTAACAGCTGAGTATAGCCAAATAAAATAAATGCAGGTATGTAGTCATCCCAGCACCAACCTAATCTTTGTGTTAACCTTTTCTCCTTTTGCTATAAATTAGTATATCAAAGAAGATGGGTATTGCTCATTTATTGCCTCTATTTAATCAACACCTGTAGCTTATTAGACACGGTCAGTGAGTAGCGCAAACACATTGGAAAGCTTAACTTGCTAGCCACATACAGGCGCTGGGGAGTATAAATGGAAAATAATGGCTTACTGATGGACAGACAGGCATTAGAAGCACAGAGAGGGAGGCGCTTGCTATGAGCTTGATTAACCAAAGGCCGTTGCCGGGTACAAAATAATTAAAATTATACATCGGTTGATGCAACGTATGTGAGAGAAATACAACTGCTTCGGCAATATACTTCTCACAGAAATATGGCGGGGCTGTCTGCCGTTTGTGAACTCTTCAAATTCTAAAACGCCTGGAAGCTAATTGAACACCGTTTTATCCAGACTTATGTCGACATGAAAGCATGAATGCGAAACCTTTCACTGAACAAGTTATTTGTTTGTCATGAAATACATCATACTTTGATAGTACTAAGGCGAATACAAGTCTAGTTTAACACTGTGGTCAGTCTGGACTATCTTCATAAGATTTACCTCAGTTAAGTCTTAGCCACCTGGAAATGTCCAAATCTCTGAGCATATGCAATTAGTATTTATACGGGTATTCTCAGCCTTCAACGAACTGGTCAATCAGTAGCTACCAAATTACTCACGGGCCTCGAAACGGAAAGTTGCATACCTCTGGAACTTGGAATTTGACGGCCGATTTATATGGGTCAGAGGATACAACACACCAATTTTATTCTCCTGATAGTGAAGTTGCTACGCTGGGATGCTTTCCGTTGAGCACCACATTAGCAACGAGCGGCAGATGGGTTCATTTCATTAAGTCACCTAAGAAACTGTGCTGTTTTTGACAGGAAAACATTGTGATCTGAAATAAGACACACTTCATCCATCAGCTAACACACGAGATAGGGAAACTTAGAGCGGTCAGCAAGATCAGCATTAAGTCAGGTATTTATGTAAATTTACGCCGAAAATAGCATACAAATATTCATACAACGTTTTTGCTCGTTCCAGTATATTCTGTGCATCTTCGTTTATCGTTCACTGTACTTGTAGTTTTGATGCGCAAGTTGATGTGAATGTTGAAATGTCCCATATTTGGATAGCGAGCGAAATATATCCAAATCAGTGTTCGTTGGAAACCGCAACTGCGCCACTACTCTGGCACCCACCCCGATGGGTGTACAAACGAATTCCCAAAGAGTGCAAGGAGAAGCTCCGTATAGGAATAGAAATCCTTTAGTCTACTCCTTACGTCGGTAGTATTATTAACTCAATGAATGTCTTGAACTAAAACAGTGCCAAGAACACCGTATGAAACAATGTGGCATTTTGGAGGCTACCTTCGGAGATGTGCAGATGTGGTAGATAGATTATCAGACATGTAGAAGCCACGTGTCTGTACACCATCTGTAATAATCCTGTGTACTTTCCTATCATTTCAGCTTCGATATATGTTCTCAGGCAACAGACTGGTCGTTTGTCTTCTCCTGATCTCACACACAGCTTCTGCTGCTCCGCCAACCGACTGGGATATACGTGCCGAGGCACCCACTTTGCAATGGCCTGCGACACGTAACGTCGAAAATGGTGCAATCACATCTGTGATAGATGGAGAAATCCAAAAGTCAACCTCACATAGGGATTGTTTGGAAGCTCTTAAATACTGTGAAGAGAAAAAGGACATATGTAAAGTAGATCTGGAAATATTCAGACAATTTTGCGGTCACTGGTTTAACGGTGAGTTCTGTTTGACAGTCCTGTTCAGTGCGAATTTTAGATTATTAGGTCAATAACCATTGGTACATTGGGAAGAAAAAAAGCCAAAGCTTGACATGCCCCATCCCATGATCGGTTAGGGGTGAGCGAAACGAAGGCAAAAATAGCAATAGAAAGTAGTTAACAACCGCAAATTGCGAACTTGCCGGTTTCAGTGTTCCAGTTTGATCAGTTCATACTAGATTTTCTGTATTATCCAAGGTTATCGTCTGTGGTTTCCAAGCAAAAATGGTGGATTGATTTGCTTTTGTTTTTCCACTGTTTGTATGAGTCTTTTGGGTTAGGTGATATGGTGTAGCGCGGCCAGTGTGCTGTCGACATGTGTTTTGAACACGGCTAATATAAGGCTGAAATAGCAGCTTCTGAGGGGACATTCCACGTGTGATGAACTTGACAACTTTTTCCCTTTTTACCTAGCCAGGCAAAAATTATTGCTTGGGAACATGTTGAAACTCCCTCTATTTAACTTGATCACAAACGATTGGCTACTAGTAAAAGTCCGATTTCAAACGCTATTTTCTTCTAACAACACCCGAATTTCAAAATCACCCTAAGGGCTACTTGATGCACATAACATGTCAGCTATGGCCAAATGTCGAGCTGCTACCTTATGTGCACCACAGAATTCACGAACTGTAACCCGTTCACTCCGGATGAGTGCAAACTGCTGATTTCGCGTAGACTAGGGGAACTCTTTACCAAGCGATTTACAACATACTCCATATAATGGTTGTCTCATTTCACCCTTGTTCTCTGCTTGTCTTCGTTCACCGAGAAAGAACGCAGCTTAATTGGATGCAGTGCACAATATTTCAAGGAATGCCGTTCTGCTTTGCGGACTGTTAATCTCGGACGTCCAAACTTACAGCACTGCACATGTGATGGAAAGATCCGTCGTTCAGTGGAAGAACTGACCAAGTGTAACCTACTACGGCGGAATTTAAACAGTCACCCATGTTTGAAAGAACCACCTATATTTTTGCCTGTCTTTCCTCTTGTCACCACGGACGACTACCGTGAAACTCATCGGGTAGAGGAATTCAGTCCCTTCGATCGTGGTGAACTGACTGACAACAATTCGCACAGGAAAGCATTTTTAACGGGGCCCAAAAATGCGAATTCAACTGGCCCAAGTACGTCAACTGTCGTTTTCGTATTTTATTGAGGTTGTGTGATAATTATTAAGAGCGCAGCCTCCAAGCTTTTCCTCTGGTCTGTTCAGCGCTTTATCTGTGTTCAATAAATTGTGGAATTGCAAAATTACTATACCGTTTAGTACACAAAAGCACATGATGTTATTCGGCTCAAAGTGCATGGCAGATTCTATGGGTCAACTGCATTCCGGCAGTTCTAAAACCAGTACCATACTACAAACTGTATGCCCAAATCATAAAACATCGGGAGCTATCATATTCCTAGGCCTTCTGAGTTACACATAGATAAATAATCATTTTTACCTAGTTTATTACTGCATTGTCAGATAACCTTGTTCACGCAGATGGTGGTAATATAGCTGAGGGTATCACAGTTTTAGGTTTGTAAAATTACAATATAAAACGCAGGTTTATGTGATCGAAACATTTGGTATGCTGGACTGTTTTGACAACGGAATGAGATATTACTTGGGGCCGAACATTGGATTAATGGTTTTTAGCTCAGAACATTTGAAATAGCTATTTTCTTCACTCGAAAACAACAGCAACCCGAACAGATTTTAACACGGAAGTCTGATTTAACTTCGCCATTTACGCCGGTTGATCTGAGTATATTAATGTATGTGTACGTGCCTGCTGAACTCAAATTACTGGATTTTACTGTAATCCCGTGGTCCTCTATGAATTATGTGCAATGTGCACCTGATATACCCCACCATTACTTCGAAGTAGAGGGACACTAAAGCTTTTAGCAAAACTGATGATATTTAATCTCTTTTGTACTGCATCGCAAACAAGCAAGGGGTACAATATTAGTCTGTTGAACCCTTACTGGCTTTACCAGGTCTGCTCACCATGAACGCCTACCTCAGTCTCGCCTATTTCAAGGCAACGATCAATGATTTTCAGTCAATATTTGGTCGCGGTGTTTAATGTTCTCGGATTCTGAATGTAAACCTTCAGGCAGCTTGATGTTTGGGAAGGAAAGGCAATGTGAATTTTGAACAATAATATTTAGGTGTACTGCGTATCAAGAGTTCGCCTTAACTAACCAGTCAGAACGTTGATGTAGGAGCGTGTAGTATGTTATGGTATAAGTGAGAGTAAAATGATCGGAATACACAAGTGTTGAGCGGGTAACATTTAGCTTATTTGTAAAGCAAATAAAACGGTACAGTAGCTAATTCTCAGCGCAACTTCTTGTTACTGTGGAAAGTCCTAATAGACAAATTGTATTCCTCGATTACTGGAGTAGAACAGTCCGTTCGGCATCATATTTTGAGGGTTGCAGTATATTGATTTGCACTAATGAGATTTATTCTTAACGAGCCCATTGTGACCCACACTAGAAGTACTCTAATTGCAGTGTCATTAGATGAATAACATTCCCTTGGAATCTTTAATTGCAAACCTGATTGATAATACGATATTAGGCACTTGGGCACATCCAGACCATACACCCAATACAAAGGTTCTGAGATCCAACTCATTGACTGTAGCCGATTTGGATTTCTGTTATTGTGGGTGCATGTGCACGCCGCATCCATTTGTCTATGATAACCTGGTCACCATTAAGAAGGGTTTAGTATACCTTCAGCTTCGAACTACCTTCAAATATGAAGTTGCTCCCCAATATGACGTTGAGACAATTGACCTATCTTCTCACGGGCTTAAGCATATCACCAGACAACTAGCTCAGCTGCCATAGTAAAAGTCTTATACAGATCAGGGCTCAATAAATTGAGAATTGCTTTGCAACAAATCTTCATATCATTTGAAGCAGTTAGTTCCCTTGAACCATTTGAAAACTACGGAGAGAAGATGGAGGCTGGTAGATACATGCATTTCGTACTGTCTCCTCAGTACCATTAACAATAGCCATTGTGCATAGAAATAGCTAACTGCGTGCAACCAGACAAGCTTGAGGTGCAGAGCGAATGACGAAAGTTCACTCCTACGTCTAACACGACCTTAGGTTGACAACTACTTGTTTCTGAACACACTCGGCTAACTTCTTTGGGCTCATAGCGACAGCTTCAGCAAACCGAAGGAAGCGGGAATTAGTGTGACGTAACACAACTTGGAACGCTGAGCCCAGCTTTATCCGGTGAACGAGTCTACTAGGTGTTCCCCTATTGAAGAAGCCGGCGGTCTTCACCGTTATTGTTAATGGTACTGAAGAGACAATAGGAAATGCATGCATTTACCAGTCTTCCTCTTCTTTCCGTGATGCATATCATTGTCTGGCCATTAAGTCATTACTCCGCGTAAGCTTCTCTAGAATATATAGATGGTTGTTAACACTAACAGTGTCCATCTGAAAATCTTCCGCTGATTTGTAAAGCTGATTCAGTTGAAATGTTTTTCTCTCATACCTGCATTTATCTTGTAAAGGTTTCGCCCTGTAAACTCTTTTTACTTAGAGTTGAAAAAATTAAACTGGAAGCGACGAATCATAAGTGCTTTTATCAACGTTTTACTGTAAACGACCCTGTAAAAATGTGTGAAATTCACCAATCTACGTAATCGTTTCTAACAGTTGAACAGCTTGACTAGTGAACAGTCATTTAGTTTCCACAACTACCGATTGGAGGCACAGTCGAATCCACATAATTTAAAATTAGCTTTGCTTATTTGAATGCATCCTTCTGCAGGAGGGGATGTACCAGTAGTGAAGTACTGCCTTAGTTTTTCTGCTTATTCGTGCATCAATTACATATAGGTAGCAGCACCCCACAAACATGAGAAGGTTACACATTTAACGCAAAATTGTGTTTAATTGGTCTATTTTCTTGTTTTCTGATTTATCGCCTTTTCTGTTGCTTTACCGATAATCTGCCACACTATGAACAATTTGCTCGCTTTCCAGCCTGTCAGTGTTTTTCGCGTTGTCCAAATTTCATTCTTACTGCTTACCACAATTTGAAACATTAGAAGTATTTGTCAGATCCACATAGACACCACAAGTGAGAACCGTAACAAGGTAAGGTTCCAACTCTCGGGTTGGTGTTCGCTTGCGCTGACGAATTCCAGTGCTTCTCTCCGTCAATTCCCATAGGTCTCCTAGTCCCAATTAACGTTTCGAAACAAATGCTCATCATTATTTCTTCAACCGCAAAGTAAAAAGTTAGGCAACTTGATTAAATTATCAGGCAACCGCACCGCAAATATGCACACCGAAAGCAAGCAACGGCGGTTCTAACGGGGGAAACTGAAAACTTTTCTGACCGCAACTGGAGAACGCACATTCAAATAGGTGGATAATTCAACGCAAAGCCTGGTGGAGCATACATCAGCTTTGCTATTTTCTACACAAATATAAGTTTATACGTCAGGTACAGTAAAGGCGGATGTCGCTAAAAGTTTCCAATATGTTAAGAAGTACTACACCTTGAGGAAAGAACAGTCACAGTACCGGACATCTCCAATGTGCCTCCTGTGCCAAGGCCATCTGATTATTTGATAGGGTGAAGTGGGTATGGAGTTCCGCAACAACACCTTACCTAGTAGATCCCAAGCATTTGCTGTGAAACCTACTCACTTCACCCCAGAAATAAACGGAGGTGCCATCTAGAGTGGGTGTGGATTTCTTTGGATATACAACTCAATTTTTGCTTTTGCTTTGCTTCTCTCCTGAATACATATATGCCATTCCAAGTTTGCTTCGGTAGCAGGTGTGTTTACCCTTGTAAGAGACCAGGGTATTTCGAGTATTGCGGATTTAGTGACCGGCCTACACTCGTCCTGGTTTGGAACCTATAACAGTCAACTTAGCTGGATATTCGTCACTTCAGGTAGTTTTACGTGACACAATATGTGACTAACGTTAAGTCCTAAAATTGCACACAACACTGCATCCTAAAAACCAAACTATACATGACAGCAACTACTAGTTCTTTGCAATTCAATGCCGCACTCCAGGAATATTCCATTTTGCGGAACATACTGGGATTGCAGTGAACAACTTCACTCCAAATCCGCCCACTTCATTTTAGCAGGGGCAAAGGAGCGATACAACGCGCCAACCTTTGTTGGGTTCTGCAAATAGCATACATTCATCCCACTTTTGAGATATATCGCCGTGCTGATGCAGGAAAGTGATAAACTAATATCGAAAGATATCACCGTCTACTAGGTGACCCCATCCTGGCGTTCCAGTTATTGAAAAATCCCGGTGACGCTTGCCGCCACCTCTTGAAGCTTATCCGAAACACAGAATTAAAGGATCATATGTTAAAAGTTGTCACCCAATACAGCCGGCTTGAGTGCAGCCGGAATTATTTTTCCCAGTGAGTTTTCCACCGTAGAACGCTCCTTCGACTTTTGTCGTTTCCGCGCACACGCTAACCATTTAAAAAAACACACTAGACGATGCTATACACCACATACATTAATTGATCCGAGTGATCGTCATTGAGTGACGACATGGCGCAGGCAAACATTGTGCTCACCAACTTCAGGAAATCAGGGTAGACGGATATACCAGTGTGTTAACCTGGATGGAATGATGAGTCCACAGATGCGTATGTTTACATTTTATACGAAAGTTTTTGAACTAACTTTATTCCTCCAAACCATCCCACGGAACTTGTCAAGCCTTGGGCATTTTATCCGTATTATACTTTTGTTCTATTGTTACATTATGTAGCTAGCGACAGCTGGTGATGCAATTGCAGTTGAAGCAACTAAAGCAAACTCGCATTTCCTTTCCTAAACGCAAGCTCCGCTTTAGAAAAGAGTACAAAAGCAGGCACCGCAAACACGAGAACTCGCAAAGTGGTGGACTGCGTAGATCTACTGGTTTCGGCTACTCTAATATTGGTTGGAATGGAACAGTAGAACAATGAAACAATGATATAGTACTGATCGAATGACATGTTCCTGGGATTTTTGTTTGAATATAAAAGTTCAAAAAAGCGACAGCTGTCTGAAATAGGCGTCCGGACACTCATCATAATATCCACATTAACATACATGTG